CACTGCGCAGAATTTATGTGGATGACGACTCAGCTAGGTGGGGGCTTCCCCACCCATTGCCCGCGTCACTAAAGCCACTCCGTGGCCATAGTTTGTTAAACTAACGAGTATTTTACACCCCTTAAATTAGAGAAATTGTGCGTTCAAGTTCACACCTTTTCAACAGGAGCAAAACCGATGGGGTGAGAGGTCACGCGAGTTCGACAGATCGTCGGACCATGTCGCCACCTCTTGCTCACAAACATCCACAAGCACAAGGAGCTCATCGAATAGTAGTACCGATAGGCACCCCACGTGGCTGTCACCAGATATGCCTCGCATAAAGGGACGTGATTCGAGCATGGAATCACAGCACCAAGAAACTGACGGCGTTGGTGCCCTCCCAATGGTTGAGGCCGAAATTGAACCCGTCAGTGCATATCTTGTTGATCCCTCCAGGCATTGCCTGCCAGATACAAGCACTGCTGGTGGGAGATGGCTCTGTGTCATTATTGTTATCGTGCTGGCAGCAGTACCAGTAGCAATTACAGGAATTCTTTGTGGATCTGGAGTTTGTACTTCTTCCTCAAATAAGGAGCCTTTATCGGCATCAGCATCCAGTGCTGCTCCTTCCATGCCACAAGAATCAATCAGTGCAACAGCATCCAGTAATGTACCTAATGTTCCCATGTCTCATCAGACTTTGACAGTTCTCCCATCACAGCAACCAATACAGAACCTCCCTACATTGCCATCATTTCTGCACCCCTCAGCATGGCAATCCTCAAGTCCATCTGTTCAGCCTTTTTTGGACGCCACAATGAATCCTACAACCATTCCATCAATGGATCCGACAACCATTAGTCCCAGTGTCAATCCCAGCAACAAACCCTCATTTTTGCCATCAACAAGTCCAACAAAGACGGCTAGTGGCAGCCCCAGTAGTATCCCTTCAATACAACCGAGCAACTTGCAAACTACGAATCCCACAACCAGCAACCCTACTGTAGCCCCTTCCACAAACAGACCAACAAATTCTCCATCAAAAAGAACAACTCTTGAACCAACAGCGCAACCAACTACCAAACAGCCCAATCCAACCACAAATCCCACCAGTAGCCCTTCGACAATTCCAACCAAGCAACCCTCTACCGGCAACCCTACTGTGGCTCCTTCTACAGACAGACCAACCAATCCTCCATCCAAAAGGCCAACTCTTGACCCAACAGCACAACCAACTACCAAACAGCCTACTCCCAGTCCAACGAAGAATCCACCCTCTTTTGGTCCGACTCTGCAACCCATGAGTCAACCTACCATGATGCCACCAGAGACAGTTGAGCTCTTTGGTACGACCTATGATGTTGCAGGCACGACACAGATTCAGCAACGGTCACCTCGTCTGACTGGAAGCATTCCGACCGAAGTTGGATACTTGACTGCCTTGAATCATCTGGAATGGAGTAACAACTATTTGGTGGGTGAGATTCCAAGTGAGCTTGGATTGTTGACTGCTTTGAGGCAGTTGTTGTTGCATAACAACCAGTTGAGCGGAAATGTTCCTTCGGAGATTGGATTGTTGACAGCCTTGTATCGTCTGGACATTTGGGGTGGCAACGAATTGAGTGGAAGCATTCCATCTGAGATTGGATTGTTGACAGCCTTGAATCGTCTGGACATTTGGGGTGGCAACGAATTGAGCGGAAGCATTCCCTCTGAGATTGGATTGTTGACCAGGCTGACAGCATTGTCTTTGTATCACAACCAGTTGAGCGGATCCATTCCTTCCGAGATTGGATTGTTGACCAGTTTGAGGCAGTTGACTTTGAGCGCCAACCAGTTGAGAGGTAGTGTGCCCAGCAGTCTTTGTTCCAACTTGGGTTTGCTGAACATCCATGTTGATTGTGCTGTGGAATGTACATGTACTCTATGTACTTGTTTCTAAAGAAATTCAATCCTTTTGTATGAATGTCAATTGTGCCTAGTTCAGTGGAAATTTTCCTTCTTTGATTGGATGTATAACAACACGTTGAGCGGAAGCATTCAATTTCTTATTCGTATTTACCAATCATCTTTGTTGTTGTTGGTTGTTGTTGCCCATATTACTAGTATACTGAAAGTCTTGTAAATGGCCTTGCTGGGCAATCGTTGGCGAGCACCTCTCTCCCTCCCGCTGCCAAATAAGTTCGTCGCCAACTTTATGCCGACTTTCGCTAGCTATTAGTTTAGTTCGAAGCGGCGGAATCCAACCAGCCTGGCTTGTCAAGTCTGTCTTCTGCATAGTACTCGTCCACGTGGCTCGTTTGGTTCATGCTCCTGGCCATGCATTCCTCCAGTCCTCCTGGTGTGTTGTTGTGGACATTGAACGATTCAATGAACTTGCACCCCCATGGATTATGATTGTTCTGTTGTGCCTTGACAATGGTATTGTTGACAACGGTAATATTGTGACAGGGATCCAGCTTGTCACAATTAAAACCAGCACCCATGGCTTGTCCGACCGCTAGATTGTTGGAAAAGACGATATTTTGCACTACCGTTTTGGGATAGTTGGAGGGTAGTTTTTGTTTGCCGACTTGATAGTTGGTTTCGAGAAAGATAAACATGCTGGTATTGTAAATAATATTCCGGTCAAATACGATATTGTCAATGGAACCACTGCGTGTAAGGGTAGTCTTGATGTGCAAGGCGGGACCCCATCCACAGGACGTGAGTGTTTTATCGCCACTTTGACAATATCCAATCGTGTTGTTGTAGATAAAGACATCCCGGACGGTGCCACTGGTTTCACTTCCGATAGCAATTCCCATACCGGTACGAAATAGATTGTGGCGAATGGTGACATTCTTGGTCAAGTAGCCTTTGACACGTTGTGACCAGGCGGGGTCCATGCATTCATTGTAGTAGGCTGGTTTGAGGCCACAGACACCAGCCTTGATGGCAATGTGATCATCACCACAGGCAATGTCATTGTATTCCACCATGACGTTCTGCGCAGAATCCGGGTCCACACCATCGACATTTGGCGCATAGAGGGGTGCTCGTATTTTCATGTGATGAATATGAATATCGGAGGACAGCATGGGATGGACCGTCCAAAAGGGAGAATCCTTCATGGTAACGGTATCAATTTCCAAGTGGGAGCAATAGACCGTTTGATAGAGATTGGGTCGTCCGGCTGGTTTGAGTGCTGGATCTCGTCGCTTGAACAAGTCCCACCAATAGGGCCCATTGCCATCAATGACACCTTGGCCCGTGATGCGAATGTGTGAGGAATTGTGTGCGTAGAGAAATGCTTGGTATTGATTCACGGTAAAACCACCGTATCTGTCTTCGCTATCTCCGTAAATTTCGACTGGTGGCATGATGGGCCAATGGTGGGTCGATGCCATGGCGACCAAGCTCCCGTCGACCTGGAGAATGGTGTGGCTGGTCAAATTCAGCGGATACGTAAGCACGGTAGCATGAGCTGGAATCACAATATGTTTCGTTTGGCAATCATCATCACCCGAGGGCAATGACAGGAGATGCCTCATGGCAGCAGTATCATCATGGACGCCATCACCAATCACACTCCAATCTGTCACTACTAGTTTTCTTGTAGTACAAGTGGATGGATCGAATGACTGTGTGGCTCTCAGTGGGAAGAGGATCCCCAATAGCAAGACAGATGAATAACTCAAACTCATAATGCCCATCTTTCCACACAGCTTGAAGGCAGACAGAAGAAACAGAAACTAACTGTAGCAATATTGCTGTCTTCAAGTATTCGTACTGTAGCTAGTCAACCCCGTGTGGGTCTGTCTGGTGTCGTGGCGCCTATAATTATCATGTTGAGTATACAGCTAATTTTGTAGCATTCTGGCATTTCAGCTGAATTGAGCATTAGTCATATCTTAATAGCTAGAGAAATGTAATGCAGAAAGCAAGCCAAAAAGGAAAGT